AGCTCGGTTCCACGCACCGTTATGTGATGCACTCGCTGCTGGCTTTCTCCGCCATGCACATTGCTTTCCTCACCGACTGTCCCATCGTCGGCAACCTGGCGTACGAGCACCGCGGTATTGCTCTCAAGGGCCTGCAGGAGGGTATCGGCTCATTTGGCCCGGAAACTTCTGATGCTGTCTTGGCTGCTTCGCTGGTTCTCTCCTGGCAAGCCACTGACTGGTAAGCACTACTTTACTACCCGGCCGGAGACGGGCTTTTCTAACACAAGATTCAGGCGGAGCTGGACTCAACTCATGCAAGGAACCTCATCGGTAAGCCTCCAACCCTCTTGTGCATCAGCATAGCCCCCGCTCGTGTACATGAGGTCGATCTAACTCGTCAAAAGGTTGTCGATGCCATGGCTTCCTGGAGCCACGACTCTCAGTTTTATGACTGGATCAGGGAAACCGGCACGTTCCCAACGGCCCCTCCTTCGCCCACCCCGGATCACAGGCCCAGCCAGCCGCGCAAGGAAGACCTGGATGCCCTGAACCGGACTCTCGCCCAGCTGCAGAAGGTCGAGGCCCACCAGAAACACAACAAGGAGGACACGAAGCACATCCAGCAGCTCATCAGCTTTCTCAAGGGATCCCGCAAAGTCAGCCCGACCTTGTCCGTCGCCCAGCAGTTTGAACGTCTCCGTCCCCTGCGTACCTGGCTTTTCTACCTGCCCGTCATGGCCCTTCAGCAGAGTGGCTGCTCCGTCAATTCCCTAGTGACCATCGCCCATTACTACACGGTGGCCGTTCTGATGGAGCGCCTGTTCCCCGAGATCGGTGCTGCATACTTTGGCAATCTTTCCATTGCACCCGTCGAGGAGATTGCCCGCTGCCTGTTGTCCATCAACATTTCTGGTTCCATCGAGGGTGATCTCACTACGCCGATGAAGCTGATGCAGTTCCCTCTGGATATGGTCAATGAGTTCCGCAACCGCATCGGTATCCTGGAGCCTGCCCGCACGCCCTCGTTCCCGCAGTACAACCCGCCCAACTTCTACACGAACGAGCCGGCCAACCTGCCCCAGGCTACGGAGTCATTCATGCCCTACGGCAACCCGGCCTTCAGCTACAGCCATGAGTCGCTGACTGGTACCATGCTCAACACGGAGGGCATTCCCCAGAACGCCGTCAGTCCCTTGACTCTGTCCTCGCCCTTTGTCAACCATCAGTACCTCAGCATCCCATCGCCCAACTATGGCAGTTACAGCCCGGCCTCGTCCACCTTTGAAGGGTCCATCGCCTACAGCGACACTGAGGAGTACGGCTCGTATGACATGGGCGGCATGTCTTCCGGCCACCACATGTTCGGCTCCGGCAGCAACTTGAGCGGGTTCGTCTCTCCCATCCAGTCCGTGTGGAACTAGGAGCGTCCACCCATGGCACCTACACCACACCGGCGAAAACGTTTTGAGCTTTCAAGCACGGGGATTGACCGACGGCCAGGATGACAACGACACCCGGCTATCCTCCGCCTGAGGACCCTTACCTGCTTTCGTCGACAGCGCACTCGACAGTTCCCTCCCCCTTCCTGCAGCCCGAGCAACTGGGCATGCTGCCTCTTCCGGAGTCGCCGATCCCCGTTCTCGCCTCGATGCCTCGCCACCGCCGGCCGACTCCGCCCTCCTCTTCCGTGCAGGGAGAGTCTCCCAGTGCCATCAGCGCGCCCTTCCCCCCACGTCAGCTTGGTCCTGGCCCGTCCCCTCCGCCGGCATACTTGCCTAGGAGCGAGAAGGGCAAGGAGCGCGAGCTGTAGTTCCAGACGCTCTTTGGCGGCCTCTGCTACCACACACACACACACACACCACTCATCCAACTCCTCACCACGTTTGCACCACATTCTTACCA